GCTTTTACTCAGACTTCAAAACTCCAAATAGCTCGAATTAGTTCCACAACATCTACATAACTCGAAATCACTCCTACAAGGCATAACACATACAATAAGTGCAAAAGACTAGCAATTAAAGCTCAAAACAAGTAAAATGCAGTAAATTAGAATGCAATAAGCGACTAAAACACAAGATTATAGCCTACCATCATTAGCTTATTAGAGGCTTACACGATGAACTGTTTCTTATTAGCATTTCCATACTGATCACTTTCTATTTTGAAACTGCTACTGGTATTTCGAGGTTCTGCTTTAGTAAGTAAGTAGAAGTCATTCTCCGGAAATATTTAGGTTAAAATCCGCTCTGCAACTCCCTTCTTGATCATGGATGCTAGGCATTAAGAATATTTCATTGCAATTACCACTTTGCTTATCTGGAGCCGTTCCATTTCCCCTTCCAGCACTGGCATCGTATGTATCTCTCCGATTTCATGGGAAGCTGTTGAAAAGAGATGTGAAAGTTAGCCCTAAAAATTTCACAAGATAGGAGTTTCTTTGGAAAAGAATGTGAAGTTAAAAGGTTCTAATATAGGTTTTTTTTGGAACCGTTAATGGTTTTTTAATATACATTTCTTAAATGAATTCTTGCTAAAAAGAGTAATATGCTCAAGTAGATAACAAGAAGAGCACCATCCTTGTGCTGCTTGACTCTTGAGCTTTATACAACTGATAAGAGTGTCTTCTTATCTGAATTTACAATGGTGATCTCAAAAAGCAATGAGTGATGGCTTGTAATAGATCACCATTTTGCTGTTTAATTGCTTAAGCAAAATAGAAAAGGTTTATAGTTGTATAGCATTTCATGCAAAAAGAAAAGAAAAAAAAGAAGAAAAGTTGTAATATTAGCATTGTTGTAGACTTTGCCGGTATTCTCTCTTAGGCAGAAGGCACAGGTCAGTATAGTTTGTCTTGTTTTATGTGGGCTTCATTTTTAGCTTTTGACATGATTTTTCTGTCTCTTTCACATCTTTTAGTGAAGATAAGTTTAACATTTTTATCCAATAGAGTTTCTCCATGAGCTTTGAACTCTCATTTCGAGGAAAAAGGACTCTAAGAAAGAAAGAATCTCGTCAGCGGATACTTTGACTTTTATCATTTTCAAGCCTTGGAAAAGTTTGAGTAATGCTTTTGCTTTTAACAGGAACAAGCAATAGCTATGCCCCCTGAGCAGGAATCTGAACTCAAAACAAGCCTTCGGCACGCTCTAAATTATCCGCCAATTGCTAGCAGAAGATCGAGGCAGAATTTGACTGAGGTGCGGAACAATTTTAATCTCTTATTGATATATCCTTTAGAGTGTTCGGGTTTTGTTGGTTGATTTCTGATCATCTCAGGAGGAGAGGGAAGAAAGAAGGCTGTGTCGTGTGTTAGCAAATAGAGAGTCTGCTAGGCAGACAATTCGCCGGAGACAGGTAAGCTGGTATGCTCATCCGAGCTATATTCTCTTCAGCAACATCAGTCTATTATCAGGGTCTAATTCTTATTGCTAATGCAGACCAATTTTTAGTGCAGTCTCTCTTCCTCAGATCTCTTGTAATTTGTTGAACATAAACTCCTATTCGATTGGCTTTCTGTCGGTTGTTTATCAACTAGTTGAATGCAAAATGCTTAAGATTTCTTAAAAGTTTGATGTTTTGAACTAGCTCGAATTTGAGTCGTATAGTAATTGCTTATTTCCCTCCTGCAGTATCTCTGTGTTAGAAAATTACATTATATTTCTGTTCACTTGTCTTCTTAACGGAGTAACCAGCTTAGAGAGATGGCAAGGTCTTAATATTATGCAGTATATCGTTATCGAGAATTTTCTGATCTCAGAGAGTTGTACATTTCTTGTATTTGTCGAATCCCAGGTTGTGGCTAACAGAAAATATCGTGTTCATGTAATTATTTCTTCATAGGCCATGTACGAAGAATTGACAAAAAAAGCAGCTGATCTTGCATCGGAGAACGAAAATTTGAAGAAGGTATTTGGTCATTTCTTTGCTCATTTATTATTCGAGTTGGGACCAATAATTTGAAAATGTAATACATAACTTGGTACTTGCAATCTTAGTTTACTTGTCCAACTATTACATTGCTTTTTTATAGCATGCTACAAATCTCCACATACTCGTCTTTTAACGGATGATATTTGTGACATGTAGAAAAAGGAGCTGGCTGCTAGGGAGTACGAATCTTTGAAGAACGAACATACTAGCTTAAGAATACGGGTAATCCTTTGTTCCTGGTTTTATTCAGAATATGAAAGATATATATCATTGACTTGAACATATAACATGTGAAAAGCTATAACGAATGACTTCGGCATTCTGCAGGTAGCTAAAATAGAGAAGGCTGAAGCAGAGGAAATAGATGGTGGTTCTAAGTCAAAACCTGTAGAAATCTCCTCTACAAGTACAGCTGCAACTCCGACTCCAACCCCAAATCCAATTCTGACCTCTCTTTTTAACCAATCTCCAATAGCACCTTTCTTTTGGCCGTCCATCATTCAACCCTTCAATGCTTTCCTATTACAGTGTGGTTCCCAAAATATTTCTGATATTACATCGGTGTTGCCTTCACCTACTTCTGGAGAATTAAATTCTATTAACAGACAAGAGAGTTCTAACCCTGGAAATCCACTATTTGTACTTCCCTTCCCGTGTTTGATCCCATTTCATCCTCAAAGTAGCAGTCCATTTCTTCCTTTGTCCTCTACCCTTACTGATAAACATGCGGAGACTTCCTTGGTCCATCAGTGTAGTACTTCATATCTGAACACGGAGAACAACCAAGCAGCGATTGCTCATGAAGTCGAGGCAGATGCTCCCCAATCAATAAAAGCTACGCAAAGAGACTTTCTTCACAAGCCTGCACTTTGTTTTCCACCAGAAGGAGGTGCGTCCGAAGGAAGCCGGCAACCTTCAAGTTCACACATACAGCTTGGTACCTATGAACGTATTAGCTCTCAACAAGACAATGCCCCTGATATCGGAGCTGTTTCTTGTACTGTGGGACATGTAGCAGATACTTCAGAAAAGACATCTCAAGAATGCATCATCTCCTCTAGCAAAACTCCAGTCGATGCCCATGCAGCAGCAGAGGCTCGGAAACGAAGAAAAGAGTTACTGAAATTAAGAAGCCAGCATTCTGATCAGTTTGGCCCGCACCACTAAGCTTCCGAGGCATGAGGTTAGGTCAAAAAAGATTGTCACTCTCTAATTTAAGCTTGATCTGAACGAGGTGGTCGGACTCTTTAATGTAAAATGTGGACAAATCACATTATCATCATTTTGTTCAATGTGCAGTATGCATCAGCTGCATGTATACCAGAGATAACTCATTGAGGAAATATTGGAACCGCCGGAGGGTTTTAAAACTACTATCTCTTGAGTGAGACATATTCTGATTTCAGTAAGAGATAGGTTTTGATGTAACATGTCTAAAGCATGAGTTGTACATGTAGTAGGAGCTTTAAAACTTCCAAGAGTGATGATACTATAGAAAATCATTGCCAGTTTTGTGGGAATTTCGTTTTGCCGAGAGTGTATAATGGAAGAGAATGTACCAATATGTGGTTTCTTGTACTTTATTGTTACTTTAAATATAATATTTTTAATGCATTGTTGTGTGACAATGGAAGGCCATTTTATGTAACGACATATTTGAAATCCCGGTGGAGTTTTGGAAGAGTGCGGGCAAGGCGGGCTTGGAGTGACACACTAGGTTATTTAATGTCATTTTTAGAATGAAGAAGATGCCCGAATAGTGGAGGTGGAGCACGATGGTTCCTGTATACAAGAACAAGGGTGGTATCCAAAATTGCAATAACTATCGGGGTATCAAGTTGCTTAGCCATACTATGAAAGTCTGGGA